TTAGTGTACTTTTGTGATAGAAATTAAAGTTTATATACCGAAGTGAAATAATGATGAAAGTTCGTATACCATGGGTGAAATTTACCCGTATGTTAGCAGGTGGGCTGCGTCTTGTCCTTAGTTAAGTTTGATGTTTGATGGATTATCTGTTTTGCAGCTAAAGCATCTAGTGTAGATAGTTCTAAGATAGACGAGGACTTGCCTGATGAGGAAGATGATGGACAGAGGAGGAGAAAGCGTCCAAGGAAAGTTCCAGGCAAGGAAAGTGTAGACCACACAAGAATTTATCAAGCACACCCTCTGAAAGTCGTTCTTCATGTTCTTGATGATGAAACTTCTGATTTGAGCCCCACAAAGATTGTAACTCTGATTTTTGAATACTTGATGAAGTTGAATGTAGTATGTGTTGGGGTGGAGGGTTCTGAAGATGATTCGGGCAAGGACATCTTGTGCAACTTGTTTCCTGATGATACTGGCCTAGAGCTTCCTCATCAGGTTTCTTATTCTGAATTCTGATGCACATAGTATTTCATGTTTCGTGAGTCACAATTATTTCCTTAACACCCCAATTTTTTTCTTGTGCATTCAACAGTCAGCTAAGATGATTGACAGTTCTGTTGAATTTGATAAGACAAGAACTTCGCGGCCGTACAAGTGGGCACATCATCTTGCAGGGATTGATTTTTTGCCAGAGGTTTCACCATTGGTGGGTGGCTTTGAAAACTCAAATGAAGAATCAGCTAAGCATTCATCAATTATAGCTGGGCTGTCACTTTATCGCCAGCAGAATCGCGTGCAAACAGTTGTGCAAAGAATCCGTGCTCGAAAAAAGGCTCAGCTTGCTCTTGCGTGAGTTACTTCACTGTATGTTTAGCATCATTGGAACCTCCAAATATACATAGCTTAGAAGCGGGAGCTTTGTTTTTTTTCTCGTTTTTGAGATCAGGGCATCTCATAACCTTTTCTGGACGAGTTTATGGAATGTGTTGTGACTTTGAAAGTAGAAGTATGCTACTATGATGTCTTGGCAGTTATATTGTCTGTTTGCATTGTTTTGACAGTCCTTTTCTGTATTACTTTGTGGCATGAAATGAACATAAAAAAAGACTACACAGGTTTAATTTCTGATGTGCTCTCGCATTCAGTTTGCACTCCAGGCTTTCTCAAGTAGATTTAGTGGAATATTTGCAGAGCATTTAAAGTTATATATTCAACTGACTAACAGGGAGCAGTTTGATTCTCTGAAGAAGTTGGAATGGCCAGTTCTCACTTGTAAGAGTGTTCCATGGACCTCCCATAAACCTCGTTGCTGTTTGCATGGATGGTCATCGCTTGATTCAACACGCAGCTCAACATTGTCATTGCCCGTTGTGGATGCAGAAAAGGTAATCAAGCATGATGATGTGACATCTGATACTTCAAAGGAAAAGATTGAAAACTCCAGAGAGGATGGGGAACTTCCCTCTTTAACTTTAGCGACTGCTGGAGTAAATGATCTTAGTCTCACACCAACGGAAGGGAAGGCCATTGATGATAATTCCATAAAGCTTGCCTTCATCTCAAAGCGTATCATATCCCCTCTTAACATGGGGAAGTCTCCAAGCTTTAAGAAACATGAGGAGGACGTAGACCTTATTTTGTTGGAATCAGATAATGAACTGGATGATCCAGCTCAAGCTGTGCAGGACGCTAACGACATGCCTGGAAGTGCATTGGCTCATGTAGATGACAAGTCATGGGCTGACTGCAAGACCGTGGACTATATTCTTCTCTTAACCAGAAATGTTCATGATGAGGAAAAGATCATGAGGTTAGAAGCTCAGGTAGATTCATTCTCATGATGTTTTCAAAATAAGTTTTAGGTTTTTTTGTTGCATCCCCATGCTCATTCTAATATTTGACTATCCATCCCATGTGTTATTTTCTTTGACATTGCACCCGAGACCCACAGTGGGGCATGTCAAATATTGAAGTAGAGCATGTAGGGAAAACTCAATATTGAGCTACACATACCACATTCTGTGCTCGAATTTTGGGCCGTTAGTGTGGCTGGTTAAACTTCAGAGTTGGCTTAGATTTTTGGCAATTATTGTTGCAGGTTAAAATAAGCATGGAGTATCCTCTTAGGCCACCGTTTATAAGACTGAAACTTTACGCATCAGTTCAAGATGAGAGCTTTTATGAGGTAGACTGCTCAGAGTGGTATAATGAACTCCGTGCCATGGAGGCAGAGGTAATTTGTAAACTGTAGTAAAGTACAGCTGCTTGGTGCATAAGCTTGAGCTGGATCATCCAGTTATCTGATTCCAACAATGCTAGAGAATGAAAAACAATTGTTGTGAGTTATTTTGTTGTGTTTGGTTTTAACATGGAAAATATGATTAGCCTTTATAAATAAATATTCAAATTTGTTTGAAGAAATATACTCTGTAATTTTTTTATTATTAAAGTTTGAACTATTGTTTTGCCCCACATTTCTCCTATAATTATCTTCCTTAGCGTTTTCCCAGTTCGAAATGGACCCTAAAAGGTTGTATGTTATAATTAGATACTCTTTCCTCATGCCACTCAAAGAGATTCCATAGCCCATAACTCATTAAACTTGGGTGATATCATCTCATGTCCTTTCTAATGGTCTTTTGTAGTACAATCACTCCTAAAGTAAACATGCCAAGATCAGAACTACTTCCCAATTTATTGTTTAGTAAGTGCATGTTGGGAAACAACTTTAACATTTTGAAAAAGGCTATCTACGGACATCATTCAATTTTAGCATTTCAAAGTTAATTTGCACCATTGAAAAAATAATTCAAAACCCTAACTTTAATTGGAAGTGTTGTTCCCAAATGAGTCCGAAGTGATTTTTGTTTTGAATTCCAAATGTTTTGCATATCTCTCTTCCATAAGTTGTAGATGTGTTGTTTTCCTGCAGGTAAATGTTCACATAATGAAAGTAATGCCAACAGACGAAGAAAACAAACTCTTGGCTCATCAAGTCCGTTGTCTCGCTATGCTGTTTGACTTTTGCATGGATGACCGAGAAACGAATTCCGAGAAAAGAACGGGTACGTCTGTGATTGATGTCGGTCTGTGCAAACCCGTCAGGGGTGAACTTGTCTCTAGATCTTTCCGAGGTAGGGACCGCAGAAAAATGATCTCTTGGAAGGACACTGTCTGCACTCCTGGCTACCCTTATTAGTGAGTGTTCTGGTCTTTAACATACTTCAAACAGGCATTATCCTGTGAGTTTCATATCAAGTTTTGTCACATTCTATTGAATTGAAATTTGATTATTAATTTATTATTATGAGGCTAATTATTTTGATACGGGCTACGCGTGTCATATGACACCGGTCTATTTCGAAGTTCAATAGTGCTTCGTTGACCCTAAAGTAGTTCATTCTCTTCTAATCTCTCTTGTAAACCTCCCACCCCGCTTGCCCTGTTCCTTATCCCCTAACCCGCCCTAATTTGGGTCACAAATGGATTGTCACCCGAATTTGGGGCTAGATTGGGGGGGGNTTTTTAGGGGATATGGGAGCTCCTCCGGGGCCAATTGGAGCACCGGGGGGTCTTTGAAAAGGATTGAGTGTCATACTCATATGACACTGATAGTCAGTGTCAAAATAACACAGCTGTATTATTATCATCATTATTTGGAAAGGGAAATGATTGAATGGTTTTTCTATGCGGCGTTTGAATTCTTAGTTCTCCTTCACTCTTTCGTCCCTAAATACTAACTCGAAATAGTAGATAAATATTACTCTCCTACCAAATTTATGAAGGTTCCGTTTGTAACACGAAATTGATAAAATTAGAATTAAATTGAGAATTGAAATTTTATGTAATTAGTTTGGATATAATTGAATTCTTTAATTTCAATTTATTTTTAGCACTATCAGTTTTAAATTTACATATTTTTGTATTACCAAACAGCAGAATTAGAATTTTTGTTTCTAACTCCAATTCCATAATTTAAATTTGTGTATCAAATGGAGCTGAAAAGTCAAACGAGTTCAAAGTATTTTCTTTGTCCCACAAAAAATGTCACAGTTCACTATATAAAGAAGATTTTAATTTTTGTTCATATATTTTTATTGATTATTTAATAAAAATAAAATATTCTTATCACTTTTTATTTTAAAATTTTTTGACATAGTGTTTAAATACTTAAATTTTATTTTTTATTTATATATAAATTTTTAAATGTAATGAATTGAAAAAATTTGAAAATTTATTCTGATTTACGTAATGTGACAAACATTTTGGGATGGATGAAATATTATATACTCCGTATGTCGAAGGAACTTGTAAGTAGAGTGCAGACTAGAGTAGTGTGATCAAACTTAGATTAAAATTTAGGAATTAAGATTTTTTTTATAATTCATCATATTTCTTAGTTTAATGCTCTGTTCATCCAAAAATAAAATTTACGGAATACATTTTTTTTGTTTTTCGTTCCAAAATGAATACTCCGTAACTTTTCTTTATACCTAAATAAAAGTGAATGATGATAACAATTAATATTTCGCAACACACTGACACACATTGATACAAAGAGCTCTGAAATTTACTCAAGATTTTGATGACAATATATGTTATTGATACATTATACCACAACTTTTATTTTAACCCAAACAAAAGTGAATGATGAACAATAATAATCAATAGCACATAGACAATTAACATTATAATTTCGATCTATTTGATATGAAAAGTGTAGGAATCTTATTAAAGTATGTCATTTTTTTAAACAAATGTTATTCATATTTTCATTTTTTTTTTTATTGGTTTTTAAACTTCGTAATGTTAAATCATGAAGCTTAAAGTAGTCCGTACACAAAAACCAAAAAAATAAACAGAGGGAGAGAGTATAAATGCAGTAATTAGAATACAATTGTAATTAAAGAGATGAGATAATCAGAGCTGGGAAACATGAACGAATTAATTAAACAGCTCTAAAGTTAGTTGAATACACTGAGGAATATACTGTACCATCAATCCCAAAACCAAACCAGACAAAAAGCCGGAAAACCTCAAAGCCACTACTACCACTGGCCTGCCCTGACCGACACAAATCAACAACGTGATCACAAAGCAACTCGCGCCCAGGTTCCCCCAAACTTCTTCTTTCCCACTGTAATTTCAACTCTTCTTCTTCTTCTAGAAAAGGAGAAATTCGATTCCCAAACAGAGTCTTGTCAAGAAGAAGTTTCCTCACACTTCTTCTTCTTCTTACTGTTCTTGCCCATAGATTCGCCCGGTGGTAAATTTTTGATGGAGGGCGGCGGCGGCGGCGACGGCACGGTGAGGTTGGGCGCCATCAACCTAACCCCGCCGGAGCGGGTCTTCAACAACCTCGACCCGGATTTCACCGTCTCCTCTCCTGTCACCCGCCAGAAATCCGCCGCCGCCAAACAGTTCATCGAGAATCATTACAAGAACTACCTCCAAGGGCTTCACGATCGCATGGAAAGGTATATGTATTGATCAGTCAATCAATCAATCAACCAAATTCTCACCTTTTTTTGGTTCTTGTTTTTATTTTGAGGGGAAAGTTTGGTTTTTTTTTTTTTAAAATTATGATTCTCTATTTTCAGGCGAAGGACATTGCAGAGGAGAGCTCAAGAAGCGCAGATACCGAGCGAGGAGCAGGAGACGATGCTGAGGAATTTGGAGAAGAAGGAGACGGAGTATATGAGGTTGCAGAGGCACAAAGTTGGGATTGATGATTTTGAACAGCTAACTGCCATTGGTAAAGGCGCGTTTGGCGAGGCAAGTTGAAACATCTCATTTGCTATCCGTTCTTTGGATTCTTGATTGCGTGCATTGACAGCTTTTGTTTTTAATTCATTAGATTTAGAAGCAATTTTAGGACGGCCGAAAGGGGAAGTGAGAAGTTCATTTTAGGACATGAGGAATATTATTATCATTATAATTACTAAACAAATGGGACTTGTATAAATTTATGGGGTCGCGGGTGTGCACAACCTTACCCTTATAGAAAACAGAGGTAGAACTTGATGTGTGTCTGCACTTATCATCCAAAGCTTTATAGAAAGTAAGAAGCAGGAGAAGTTTAACATGTCATTTTGATTTTGTCTGTTATATAATGACAATGGGCACAAAAAATCAATTAAACATAGAAATCCATTTGAAGCCTATACAAATCTTCAGTTAAACATAGATATTTATTTGAAGTCTGTTTACATGTGAGCCGACTTGTAGCCCATCCACTCTATATGTGTATAGTTATTTTAAATCATGTCAACGGCATTCTTCATTTCAAGTGATATAGCTGAGAAGTATTAGATCCTCTCATCTCATTTTCTGTTCACAAATGCACAAATTGACTTGGACACACCATCACAGATGTAATTACTAAATGTTTGTGATGTTTGTTGATCATATAATGCAGGTGAGACTATGTCGTTTTAAGAGTACTGGAGAAATTTTTGCCATGAAGAAATTGAAGAAGTCAGAAATGCTTAGCCGTGGACAGGTTAAACAAAAAAAAGGAATTTTCTCCTAAAAATTGCCTTTATCAATAGCGCAACATGTTTCTTTTGGCAGTGGGGTGGAGGGGATACGAGTGTACAATTAGCATATTATGTTTCAGCTTCAGCTTTTCTATCCTCTTATTTGGACGTCCTCTCCATATGTGGGAGGACAGTTCTATCCTTAGAAGAAATCTTCCCTTCCGTTGAGTGAGTGTTTGTGTTTACTTAGTGAGCTTACTTTAAACCCCCTTTGTCCCCAAAAGAATTTCCCACTTTCCTTTTTCATCCATCCCAAAATAAACATCCCACTTTTTTCCTTTCCACAAAAGGAAATGATTAAGTGGCGTACACCATTTTTCTATCCTCTAAACTAATCCTACCCACACACTTTTCACTTTTCAACAACTCCCTTAAACTTTGTGAAATCAAACTGTGACTTTTTTTTGGGGGTGGAGGGAGTGTGTTTGAGATCATGTTCAATGCATTATAACCTATTGGTTCATTATCCAGGTTGAGCATGTACGGTCAGAAAGGAATTTGCTTGCGGAGGTTGATAGTCGCTGCATTGTGCAACTCTTCTATTCTTTCCAAGATTCTGAGTTCTTGTACCTCATTATGGAGTATTTACCCGGCGGCGACATTATGACACTACTGATGAGAGAAGATGTCCTCTCTGAAGATGTCGCACGTTTCTACATTGCAGAAAGCATTCTAGCTATTCATTCAATTCACCAACATAATTATGTACATAGGTATTGAAATGTCTGTCAAACTTTTAGTCTTTCCAAATCCCCTTTTTGTTTGTCTTTGTGAATCTGACCCTGTACATAATTCTACTTTTAGGGATATAAAACCAGATAATCTAATACTTGACAAGAATGGGCATTTAAAACTTTCTGATTTTGGGTTATGCAAGCCCTTGGAGAATAAATATTCATCAATATTGTTTGGAGACAATGACATCACAACCCAAGAAGCAACATTGTCTGACAGCGAAGGGAGTTCTAGGAGTGGCAGATCTCATTGGCCAATGCCAGAGGAACAACTACAACAGTGGAAGCGCAACCGGCGCGCATTGGTATTCTTTTGTTTTCTTCGTCTTCTTTCTGTTTTTCATTTGCAGTACGTGTTTCATGTTAAAGAAAAGACATTTGCAGGCGTACTCTACAGTGGGAACTCTTGATTATATGGCACCAGAGGTTCTGTTAAAAAAAGGGTATGGAATGGAGTGTGACTGGTGGTCCCTGGGAGCTATCATGTACGAGATGCTTGTGGGGTATCCTCCCTTTTGTTCAGAGCATCAAAGGATGACATGTCGTAAGGTCATTGAATCTTTTGTCTCTTAATTCTTGTCAAAGTGAAGTTGTGACTTGTGAGGATTCACTTTTGAAACACACCTTTTCTTTAAAATTGGTTTATATACATTTGATGAATGAGGTTTAAGCAAGACGGCTTTTTTATGTTCATTTTTTTCCTTTTGTCACATCAGATTGTCAATTGGAAAACATGTTTGAAATTCCCCGAATCAAAAGTATCAGATGAGGCAAAGGACCTGATATGTCACTTGTTATGCGATGTTGAATCGAGGTTGGGGACGAAAGGGGTAGAAGATATAAAGGTAAATAACTGCTTGAATGAATGATCTTATCTCATCTCCTCCTTGCACATGTGGATTCTTATCTTCATATCTTTCACTTTGTTTTTCCTCACTTTATTTCCAGGCACATCCGTGGTTTAGGGGCATCGAATGGGAAAAGCTTTATGAAATGGAACCTCCTTATAAGCCTAGAGTTTCTGGGGAATTGGACACGCAGAATTTTGAAAAGTTCCCCGAAGTGAGTATCTTTTCTTTCCCTCTCCAAAAAATTTATATTGGACACTTATAGTTTCGCTCTTTTGTAGGTAGAAGATGCACCCTCAACTACACCAAGAGTAGGACCTTGGCGGAAGGTATTTTTTTTGTCTTTCCCTCTCCAATAAATTTATGACTTCCAAAGAAATTTACCTAAATAGGACTAAAACATAATGACTTTCCCAGTATAGGACCATATGTTTTTATTTTCCAATGTAGGACCTTTGGTCATTATCAAGTAGTCATTATTGAACTAAATGTTCATGATTACAGGACATTATTCTTTCAACTAGGTCATTATTAAGTCCTATTTAGGGAATAAAAAAGTTTAAGTCCTACATTAGGAAAGTCATTATGTTTTAGTCCTATTTAGTGCAAATTTCACTTTAGTTATACCCCATAATAGCTAATTGAGAAGGTCCAAACTACTACCAATTGAAATTGATTTGAAATAAGGCGTTTACTTAATCTTGCAGATGCTAACATCAAAAGATGCCAACTTTATTGGGTTCACTTTCAAGAAGTCCGATATTCTCAAATCTGCTGAATCATCAGGTGTGCAAGTTTTTGTTGATATGCAATCTCCTTGGCATTAAAAGCCCATGTGCATATTTTATTCTTAAATTTGCGCACTGATTGAATTTGTACCTGATAAACTTTACGGGTACCGAAAGGAATAATTTTTTAACAATATTAGGATTCCATGATTTATAAATTGTTCATTGACCTTGTTTGGAGTAATGCAAAGAGACCTTATATTAATTGGTAGACATTTTTTTGAACTGCAGGAACAGACATGAGTTCCAATGGACCTCCAAAGCATCCATCCTTAGTGTCACTGCTTGGTATGATTTGTTCAACCGTTCTTCGTCGCATTCCATAAATCTCTTTGTTCTTGTTGAGGATAATAGTCTCACATCGAACAGCCTGACTGAAAAAAAAAGACTAATATATAACAATATGAGTCTCTTTTCCCATTGCCAATTGTTTTCGGGTTTGGAATCTCACGATTCTACGCATAGGCATATCATATTTAAATATGATGTCAATTCAACGTTTTGAAGTTGTGTTTATTTACAGAAATGCCACCGCATTTTTGTTACGCTTGCGTGTTTTGTTGCAAACAATAAATTATTGTGTCAAAAGAACATAACAATTGGATCTTGCATCTAACGGCTTCTTCTTTTTCTTCGTTCTTTTGGGTGAATATTTGTTGAAACCGTAGTCCTTTCTGTGGCATGTTTATTGCAGGGAGAATAGATTTGCAAGACACATCAATTGCAGAGGATGAGCACAAGGAGGAAAGCGGCTGATTTCATTTGACAAAATGCATATTTTTTTTTAAGTCAAAGTTGCTATTTTCCTATTAGCTGATTTGTCATTTATGTATAAAAAATATGATGAGAATTAGCCACATATATACATATATTCTGCTGCTATGAAGAAGTCCATTCAAAATTTTGAGCTCAGGCATATTCTGTTTGCTACATGTCTTTGTCTTTGCGACTCTTCGCGGGCATTAATTTTAAGCGTTGTGCTATAGTGACATCAATCCTGACACTAAACATACATAGATAACAGTTGTATGTGTATATCTATGAAACATATGATATCAAATTTGGTGTTGAAAAGTTGGTGTGGTGGTTTTATACATATTTTTGTGGTGCAAAAATCAAGGAGGGCAGGGCATTCTTGTAGGAGATCTCAATTTTTCTACTTTGGAAACATTTTCTCGATCGCTTATGAGAGTAGTAATAATTGATACAGAGTACAATGCAAATTACTTGGGGAATACGAAGTATATTATTTTCTTCGTGTAAAAAAGAATGTCACATTTCATTATGTAAGATCCGTCCTAAAACTTTCTTTCTAGAGCACTATTCCAACTTCACGGAAATTTATATTTATTTGTGTTTTTTCATGGCCTATATGATAAAATAAAATACTCTTGTCACCACTTGTTTTATTGAACTTTTGATGTAGTTTTTAAATATGTATGTTTTATTTTTTATTTCTATACAATATTTAAATAAAATAGATTGAAAAAACTTAGGATTTTTTTTCGTTTTGCGCAACGGGAAGAATGTTTTAAGACGGAGGGAGTAGGAATTTTTGTTAGTTTGTGTACTTTTATTAATTATTTAATAAAATAAAATAATCACGTCACATTTTATTTTGTTCTCTTTTCGAGAGAAATTTTAAATTGTGTTTCACTAGATTAAACTTTAACTATTTTTATTATTCATTTGATTAAATACTCCCTCCGTCCTATAATGTTCTTCCTGGTTCATTTTATGAAGTTTGACCGACTTTATTTTTAATTCAATTTATTTGATTGTAGGTGTAAAATTAAAAAATAAAATTTATATTTTTAAAAACTGCATCAAAAGTTCTACAAAACAAGTGGTGACAAGACTATATTATTTTATCAAATACCTAATGAAAATAGGTAAAGAAAGTGATTAAAGTTTGACCAGGTAAAAAGTGAGTGTGAAGAACATTTTAGGACGGAGGGAGTAATATATTAATGTAAGTTTTTGTTTTGTATAATTTTAAAATTATTTTTTAAATCTCTAAATTTTATTTTGGCTAATGGTTCAGGGAAATTCGGAACACTATATTCTTTCCTTTTAAGGTTTTTTTTATTTTATTATTTGAAAAAATAAATAATTATTTAAATGATAGTGAAAAACTTATTTTGTGGACCGTAGAATTTGCTTTACAACGAAAAGTCGCACACACGTCAAAAATTTCAAAACAGCAAAACCTTCCTTCCCAGAAGAATTGAAGAACAAAGACCAGACCAGAAATTTGTCAACCCCGTTTCGCAATCGGACTCTGCGTCTTCAACCATCGGAAGTTCGATATTTGATTCTCCTCCTCCGCCGCCGCCGCGTCTCCGACCGGTCGATCGCGTTAGGGCTCGAACTCACAGAACCATCCACAATTATCATAGGTGCGCGTTCGTCCCCGTTCTGAATTAGGGTTTTTCAATCACCTCAAGCCTCCTAGGCCGCCCCTCACAATTCTAGCTTCGCTATTGTAATTCGTTTATACGTCGTCTTTTTTTTACGATTTCCGATCTTTCTTTAGCCTTCCGTGATAAGAACGACAGAGGGAGCTGAGGGGAAATTTTGAAATGGCTTCGTTTATACCTGCGTCGAGGCTGTGTAGGCGTTTGTCTATGCGTCAGAATTTGGCACTGTTAGGGAGGAGGAAGCATTGTGACAGCGGTTGGAAATGGGGAAATTGTGCTGGAGCCCGCTGTTTGAATGGCATTGCCGGTATCGATTCCGGTTTTTCTTCTCCTGCCCATTCGTCCGGCATTTCCCGCAGTGATGGAATTTATAGCAATGCAAATGTGATACAAAGGAGAACCTTCTTGGGATGCGGCGATGGAGAAGAAGGGAGCATGTTGTCTAAAGTTTACAAGGAGAAGCGTGTTTTGGGGTATGCCTTTTTCTTTCTTATTCTCCATCTCTCTCTCTCTCTCTCTCTCTAAAAGCTCACTTCCATTTATTAGGCATAAGCAGTTGTTTCTATGGTTTCCTTGCTGGACACCTTCACTATGTTTGGGACAATATCTTCTTTTAGTTTAAACCAGTGAATATGATGAAAAATCAATTTCTTGTGTTCAAATAGGATTCTCTTTGGGGACAAATAAATTTTCAAACGATTTTTTTGAGATGTTTTGAATTGTTTTTGATGGAATATGTAATTTGTTCCTCCTTAGTGGCACCACCTTTCTTTGGAGTTTTTTTCATGAGTTAATGGTTTTAATGTTATGCTATGATACTGCTTGGATTAATATCATAATGTCTTGGATTTGGAGAACTGTTGGCATGAGATATTATGGGGTTTCTTGTGTTTGAGAACTGTTTTAAAGTTTTAAAATGCCCAAGTTATTGTTTTTTTCATTTGAACACCAACTTAATAAATCGTTGCTCTGTATTTAAGTGCTTACATCATAAATCCTAACTTGTATGGCTTAATTATCAGATACTCTCCGGAGCAAATGTTTGCTGTGGTTGCTGCTGTTGACATGTATGAAGATTTCCTTCCGTGGTGCCAAAGGTCAGAGATACTAAGACGCAATCCAGATGGATCTTTTGATGCTGAGTTAGAGATTGGTTTCAAATTTCTGGTCGAAAGTTATGTCTCCCATGTGGATTTAAAAAAACCGTCATATATAAAGGTGAGAAATTGCTTCTTTTTTGGGCGGGTGGGGTGTGGGTTTGAGTTTGTTAACATATTCATTAAATCATTTAATCCCGTTGTAAGTTGGTAACTTCAAAACAAAGTTCAAAAGGGTAAGTACGGTAATTGAGGTGGTTTGTTTGGGAGAGGCAAGGAATGAGCTACTAAGCCTCCTATTTTGCAAACAAGGCATAAGCCTAGATACCCATTCAAGACGTCTCACATCGAAGCAAGCCTCTCAATGACCCATAAGTGCCTTTTTAAATCATTCTTCCGAATTTGATTGGTCTTATTGTTCTACTATTACGAAATTGGAAACATATAACAAGAGGCCGATTAGCTGTAGTGTGCATGCCAGACTTGTTATATTAAGTATAGCCCTTAATATGTGTGATTGAATGACTATGAAATGGTTTTAGTTCCGCAGTTTTATTCCTTTCCATTGCTAGGAGTTATGGAATGTGATTGGAACTTGTCAGTTAATTCCAAATCTAATTTCTCTTCATCTTATTTGTCACCTAAACTTGCAGACTACTGTATCAGAGAGTAACCTTTTTGATCATTTAATTAACATCTGGGAGTTCAATCCCGGGCCAAGTCCCGGAACATGCAACCTTCATTTCTCAGTGGACTTCAAGTTCCAGTCTCCACTTTATCATCAGGTGACTCTCTCTCTCTCTCTCAATGTCTCTGATCGACACGACAAGATGTGTTTATCTCTCTTCGAGCCATCCATCATAGGACTTTGCTAATTGTGTGTTTCAGGTGGCAAATATGTTTTTCAAGGAGGTGGTCTCTCGACTAGTTAGTTCCTTCAGCGACCGTTGCAGGTTGATTTACGGACCTGGTGTTCCTGTGCATGAAAAAACTTATGAACATAGGACATGAATAATTGTTCCTCATCACTCTAAAAATTCATATCGTTCTCTAGCCGCGGCAGCTCCAAAATCCAGTTGGACTGGCATTTTGAATGGAAGAAAGGTTAAATGTAGCAAGGGGGTGTTCTTGATCACCAAATTCTAATTTTTGTAGGGATACCAAAGTGTTGTTTTATTTGTTTGTTTTTTCCCTCTCTATTTCTCATCTGTACAACATTCTTACTCATTTGACTACTACAAGCATCACTTGTATGCAACATAGAACTTCATACAAAGTACTCCGTACTTGTTACGAGTACTATTCTTTGTGCATAGCCAAAAATTTCCCCAACAGAGTTTTTTTTCCTTTTATGTAATTATTGTTGTAGTCATGGTTTTGAAAAAAAATGAGTTTTCATTTAAATTATTTTTGGAGAATGCTTCCCACGTTTTAAATTGGCCCTAAGTAGAAATGGTATGGATGTAAATGAATAGGGTTAATGTGAAAAGGACTAGTAATATTGTTTTTACAACACTCCTTACAATATTAATTTTTTTTCATATGAATTATTTTCATTGAAAATTCATGGGAGCATTGAACGTTTTCTAAAATATACTTGTTTTAAAATATACAATATCACTTGTTTTAAAATATACAATTCATATTTTAACAAGTTTGAAAAATTAGATATATCGCATTAATGATTATAGTTATTATCAATTTATGATTTTAGCTTAAAATATTCTAAAATATTTGATAAAAAAATCAAATAGACATTATGAAATATTCCCTTCGTCCCTTATTTGAAATTATTTTATTTATAAATTGGTACATTAATTAATATGACATATAAATTACATATTTAACAACTACGTTAAGAGTTTTACAAAGCGAGACGTGATGATATCTTATTTTATTAGATACTTAATAAAAATACATATATAAACAAAATTTTTCGAGAAAAGAAAGAAAAAAAATTGTAACCTGTTTTGCGATGAAGGGTATAAGAACAATTGAGGTTTTGCCACAGTCCCGGTGTAAATATTTGCTCTCCATTTTTATCAAACGACACCGTTTCAATTCATAAAATTACTCCGTAAAACCTTACCTGGACTATCAATCATCAAGGTAATTATTTATTCAGTAACTTATTCCCTCCGTTCCAAATTAAATTGTCTGTTTACTATTCACATGATTAAACTTGTTACTACATACTTATTTTGTAGATCATTTGATTTAATTTTTAAATATGTAATTTTTTTTATTCTACGCTGTTTTTTCATATAAAATAATTTGAAAATAACTTCACTCAAACATCGTAAACCAAAACATGCAATTTAAATGGAGACGGAGGGAAAACTAAATTGGAATTTTAGTTGTTAGATCGTTGTTTCGTCTAATCGATTTTTAGATTGGTCTTTTGATTCAACAAGTAATTAGTATTGTTCCATTGCATTTTGGCAAAGAAAAAAAATGCTATCTGAGGAATAGAATGTAGTAACCCAATGTTGAAAAATTGTGAAAACAAAGACAAGCAGAGCAGATGCACACTTCTCTTCTCCATCAGAAAAAGAGCAGTTTTCAAGGTTTTTGGAATTAGGATTATTTGTTTAATTTATATGGAGTATATAGTTTATTTGTTATATGTTTATTATTTATATTTGTTAATTTCATCTTTTAACTGACTATGATTTTTTATGTTAATTTAGGATGCAATTCAAACATAGTTTTAATGACAACCACAATTTAATGAAATTGAATCTAGTGGGAGTAGTTCCCATTTGAATTCAAATGAACCTTCATTTTTCCAATGAACCATTGCCTCAACTAATTGCTCAATCTGAAACTACATTTCCCACAAAGGAACTAACTCAAGGAAACATTGATTTTGAATGTTTGGAAGCTCACCGAGAAAGGTCATTTGTACGGAGTTTAAAAAAAGTGTAAAGTAAAAAATTAGTGGTTGAAATTTGTTTAGAAGAAAGAGAAAAATTATGGACCACATATTCTTTAGCTTGTTAGGAAAGTAAAGAATTGATGCATTTTTTGGGACCGATTGAGAAGGAAAGTGAGACGATTAATTCGGGACAAAAAATTTTTTAGTTATGATGTTATAATAAGACACTTTCAGACTATGAAAACTAGATGAGCATATGAAGCACAGGTGCCTCAAAATACTGGCGCACTAAGCATTACGGAGTATTATTAGAAATGGATTGGCCTGTCCAACTGGTCGACCCGCGAATCGGGAGATTTTTCGATCCGATTCAATTATAGAACCTACTTTTTAATTAGCTCGTCCGAACCCGCCTGATCCGGTAGAACAGGCGAATTGGATCAACCCGTCCAATCCAGAGTTTCGATTTTTTTTCTTTTTCTACTAATAAATTGAAATAACAAAAGTAAAAATTGAACTCAAGACCTTAGCTCATAAGAAGACTCGAACCTATAAAGCACGGTAAAACACTGGCGCACTAAGGGGCTGTTTGGCAACTTCTGAATGGGTAAGTGCTGAACCAGTAAGAGGTCTAAACCATTAAGTGCTGAACCAGTAAGAGGTCTGAACCATTAAGAGCTAGTATATTGCTTAACTATTCAGAGGCAAATGTCTAATTAATTCAGATAAGAGGTCTTCACCATTCAGACTCTGTATAATACTTAACCATTCAGAGGCAAATTTCTTAACCATTCAGACATCTGAACTATTAAGAGGCTGAAACAAACAGTCTGAACCATTAAGTCCTGAACCATTCAGACATCTGAACCATTAAGAGGCTGAAACAAACAGCCCATAAGGGGCTGTTTGGCAACTTCTGAATCGGTAAGTGCTGAACCAGTAAGAGGTCTGAACCATTAAGTGCTGAACCAGTAAGAGGTCTGAACCATTAAGAGCTAGTATATTGCTTAACTATTCAGAGGCAAATGTCTGATCAGTTCAGATAAGATGTCTTAACCATTCAGACCCTGTATAATACTTAACCATTCAGAGGCAAATCTCTTAACCATTCAGACATCTGAACCATTAAGAGGCTGAAACAAACAGTCTGAACCATTAAGTGCTGAACCATTCAGACATCTGAACCATTAAGAGGCTGAAACAAATAGCTCCTAAGCACCTTGCGGGTGCGGTGCGGCCTCTTGTTTTTTATTTGAGGGAGGGGTAATTTTGAAGAAATTGAAAGAAATTGGGTCCAAATTGAATTAATGAAACTTTAAATAAATGAAATGAATTGGGGAATCGCAAAATCAGACCTCGTTCGCAGTCTTCGCCCGACCCATAAGGAGAGAGAGACTTCGCCGCCGTCCATCTCGATTTCGTTGCCGATCGATCGCCGTCCCGGGTCGTGCTCTCCGGCGCGGTCATCACCGGAGACCGGCGTCCAGCCTCCTTCTTCAGGTATCATTTTCTCTCCTCCGTTTCCCGTCTAACCCGTAATCTGTATACTCCCTGTCTCTCAGCCTCTCTCTCTTTCCTTCTCTTTGTCTAAGTCTCGCCATTTCCTCTTCCAATTGTGGGCTGTTTTGGCTATTTTAATTTGTAGGGTACTTGGTTATTGTGTGATTAGTTTAATTAAGTGGGTAATTTGAAATTGGCGTGAACGAAATGTCTTCATCTGGTTCAGCTTCAATTAACAATAATTCTGAAGTTGATGGTAATGGAAAGTTACCATTGTGGAAATATTTCAAAGTAATTTGGGACTTGTATTATGTTTCCTATTTATTTTGTGTGATGTTATGGGTTTAATTTATTTAAAAATAAGATAACTGATATATGTTGTGAATATTTCTGACATAAATACTTGTGTCTTACAATGACATGAATAATACTAATAAACAATGTATAAATAAATTTGCCGCACCCGCACCCTATTTTTTCAAAAATTCCCACACCCGCGCACCGGTCGCCGCACCCGCACCTGTGCTTCATAGGTTATAATACTAGTGTTGTTTTATAGATAAAGAGTGCTACGATTCCTATGAATAATTAGCTTGTTATTTTTTGTTTGTCAATAGAAGAGAGCACACTCTGCAGAGAGTAAAGATGTGGCGATCCACGATATCTGGAGCTAGGAAATCCTTCATTAGAAGATTTGGATCAAAACCAAAGCATCCTATAGCGGGAATCTCTTCTCAGCTATGCTTCTCCTTTGAATCTTCATTGAATCAAAGTCCAGATTTCCTTGCTTCCCAGAACTGTGTTCTCCCACCCTCAAGAAGATTTTTCTCGTCAAGTCCTCATTTTGATTTTGATGCATCTCAGTTTCCCAACCATGGGTCTGCATCTAGTCCATGGACGGCCAGTGACTTTGATAATGGTTCTTCCTCTGTTTTTAAAGAAATTGACGATGAAATCAAAGATGTAAAAGATATCTCTTTCGAAGATGGGTTCCCTATTGAAAATGCTAGTGTTCCCTTAGTCGTCGAGGAGGATGCAGAGCCTGGGGTGTCTGTAGAGAATGAGGAGAATGCAGATGAAGGTGATTCGGTTGAAAAGGTGGAAAAAATGGTGTCTTTGCTTCAGAGTAGTGGAATGGTTGATGGATCTTTAGAGTCTAAACTTGAGGAAATCGGATTGAATGTTACCATAGATCATGTGATGAAAGTGCTCGACACTCAAAGTGTTCCTGGAAAAAATTTGATTGAGTTTTTCAGCTGGGCTTCTAGGAAACCAGGAATTGCAGTGACTACGTCCATGCTTGAGACGCTGACCAAAACGATATGTGCTGGTGAAATAATGAGAGATATGTATGCACTGTGGAATTTGTTGAAGGATTTGGGAGAGAAGGAGATTGGAGTTTTGAACACTGACATATTGAACAGCCTGATATCTTTCTTTTCCAGGTTTGCCAAGGGAAAGGTTGCTTATGAGGTGTTTAACAAGTTTGGGGACTTTGCTTGTGACCCGAATCCTGATACGTATTACTTCACGATTGAGGCTCTTTGTAGGCGCAAAATCTATGAATGGGCATGCTCTGCTTGTGCAAAGATGATTGATTCTCAAAAGTTCCCCGACGCGTCCAAATTGGGAAACATCATTTCTCTTTTGTGCAAGGGAAAAAAGGCTAGAGATGCACATCTTGTTTATGTGGCTGCAAAGGCGAAGGGTATAACTATACCTCGAACTTCCATTGTTTCATTGGTCAAATCCCTCTGTGAAGAAGCCGAAAATGTTCACGCTGCATTAGAGATTGTGCAGGATTTCCCCACAAACGAACGGAAGCGTGCCATTCATTCATTTTCATTAGTCATTCAAGGGTTATGTAGAAGCAAAGAAGTTCAAGAGGCCAAAAGTTTGCTGCTAAGTATGATTGATGCAGGTCCTCCTCC